ATAAAAATGGAAATTTAAAAAATGTCTTGAAAATAAATACAACATATCAAATATAAGACTGCAGCTTAACTAGTACTTAAAGGAAAATTTAAAACCATATAAGTGTACAATTTAAAAATCTTGAGCTAAATAAAAAGGAAATAAAGATAAGAACAGAAATTAATATGACAGAAAACAAAAATGCTAAAGATAAAATTAATAAAACCCAAAGTTGAAGCTTTAAAAGGACTAAAACATTGAGAAAGCTTAAAGAAGAAAAGAAAACAAAAAAATATTAATAACAACAATTTTTATATCAAGGATAATCATAGGAGCCAGCCGTTGTGGCTCATGCCTGTAATACAAGTACTATGGAAGCTGAAGCAGAATCCCCAAGAGTTCAAGGCCAACCTGGACTACCTAGTGAGTTCAAGGACAGCCTGAACTACATAGTAAGACTTTGTCTCAAAAAAAAAAAGAATAATCAGAAGAACATATGTCAAACAATTTTGTTCCACAAAATAGAGAAAGAGATATCAAAAAATTCCAAGAAAAACATTTACCAAAAACAACACAAGAAATAGATAATTGATATGGTCCTGTTTCTATTAAAGAGAATATATGTCTGATTAAATCTTAAACAGGCTACAATCTAGGAAAAAAAAGATACACTTCCAACTTGTTTATTAAGACCACCATAGTCTTAATACTATAAAATAACGATATACTTCAAGAATAAAAAATTACAGGCCAATCTTTCTCCTAAACACAGACACAAAATTCCTAAACACATATTAGTAAACTGAACACAAATATTCCCAAAATGCACTTATTTTCAGTATGTAATGTTTATTTGAAATTTCAAAATCTATTGATGTTTTCTTCTTCTAATTTGATATTTTCAGACAAACCTGGAGTAAAATATGTTCTAAAAATATCTGACCTTTATTCTTCAAAATTGTTGTCTTGAATGACAATACAAATTTTAGTAAACTGCTCTTACATTAAATTAAATAGAGTGACATTATAACTAAAAGAAATATGTGATCTTAAGCTGATACTATTAGGATAATAAATGGTACTAATGAAACAAATAATAATATTGAATATAAATAATTAACAATATTGAAATATGAAAAACATGAACTGTACATTAAATAACAGCACTTTGTCAGTTATTAAAGTTTCTAAATTTGATAAGTATATTTCTATTAAGAGAAACTGTATAAACTGAAAAATTCCTGTCATGAGATATATTTTTGTTGTCTTCCATATATGTATCAAAAGAAAAAATTGCAACTAATTTAGTTGTAGATATAATTAGCTCTTATCTGTGAGTTATGAATGGAGTCAGTCTCTATTCTTCAAAATAGAATGGGAACCCCCTCTGGGAAATGCCAAAACAATGAGGTGATGTAAGGTGGGAAGAAGGGAACAGAACAATAAGGATAAAAAGCAAAAACTGGTTAACATCAGGTTACTCCAGTTACTTTTTGGTATAGGTTCAAGCAGAAAGGACTTTTTTTATTACACTGACTTAGGTAGACTGAAATAACCTACTTTTCTGTTTTGGGTAGACTGGAATAACCTACTTTTCTGTTTGGGGGTATATTTCCTTTCTTAAATCTTCGGTTTGATTAGCAATATTTATATCATGAATGATTCCACATGGGTTTGGTCTGGTCCACTGGGACCTTGTACTGGATCTCAGTACAAAACAGTGGACTCTAAGCTGTAGAGTTCATTTGTTTTTAAAATAAGCTATTTCTCATCTCCTTCCAACTTATCTATTAGAAAAGTTTGAATCAGTGTAATTACACAATAGGTCAATTAAGCATATTCCATAATGTCAAGAAAAGATATGTTAAGTCCTTCTTTACTATAGAGTAGGGCTATGAAAGTATATCATGTCAGAGCCATCTGGAAAGTTTTGCTTGGCGGCCAGGTGCCTTGGCTTTCCCACCTACCTAGTCTGTTGTGTAATTGTTGTTCCCTGATGGTTTTCTTTTAAATTACCCCAGAGAGAAGAACAGAAAAAGCATTTATATACAAGCACTGTTTCATTCAACCATCTAGTCCTTGTAGAATAATGAAATCACAGCTTTGTGAATCTAATTCTCTGGTGCTTTCTTTGTTTTCCTGCCTTCTCTGACATATATATCTCCCTGGTGCCTCAGATCATGTAACAATATCTGCTAAATGTCAGCTATTGGAGAAACCATAGAAACAAAAGCATTTGTTTATTGCCATAATGCCTAAGGCAAGTTCAGCTTCAGGCTGAGTGCAAATCTTTCTCTCACAGAAACATAAATTGTATTTTTTATATTTGTGATCAAAACAGGTTAGAAGACTTAATTTACAATAAAAATTCAACAGAAGTTGACCATGTTAAAGTTTCTTAAGAGGAGGCTAGGGAAAATATTAGTTAAATGGATGTAATTGAGATTAACTTTATTTACATTTAAAAGACTATGCCTTTCTATAGAACATGGTAAGTGGGCACATAGGCTTATTTCAATCTCCCAGTGCAACTGGACAGAATAAAGTATTATAAGTCCAAAGCAAAGAGACTAGAAGAGACCTCAGTACACATAACATTTCAACAACTTTTGGAAAATAGAAACCTGATGGAGGCCCAGTAGCGGGTGCATAAGAGCAGAGGTAGCTATGTGCTAAAAGGCACACAGAAATGAGTACTGAAGTGGAGAGAGCCAGTTTTTACCTGCAGAATGCTGCAGTAGCAAAGGGCTTAGAGGAACCATGTTAGCTCACTCAGACAGGCCGCTACTTCCCTTTTTCCTCCAGCAGGAAACATTAGGCTTAGCAAAATCAGATCTTACCCACCAAATAAGGGGCATCAAAATGATAAATAGGCTGATATTCACAAACTCCTTCTCCTCTTAATCCCTTTAAGACACATATGATAGTTTAAATCAAATTTTTAACTTTCATTATCACCCTTGAGAAAACTTTTTAGACAGTTTTCCCTCATCACCCCCACTTTCTCATGAAATTTTTATTCCAAGATACACTGTGCATTTGTCTATATGTTTTCTATATATCTGTGATTTATACATAAAAAAGTGTGGAGCTCACTTTTTTAGTTCAATGCAAAATTCAGAATGAATACTCTTTTAGAAGTTGAAAGTTAAATTTGAAAAATTAAAGATAGTTAGAAGTAACTTACAAGTGTGTGATAATTTCTGAGAAAATTTCAATATAACTTGTTTATATAAATTGTAATGTATAAAATTAACGTTCAAAGCAGCAACATACAGTAATGCACAGTAAAATCTTCCAAAACTTAAATTTTAAGCAAAATAACTAAATTTAAAAATTAAATTTCTTTTTAAAATTTAATTTCATAGAAATAATTTTAATGAATTTAACTTTTGACTTTTGCTTGATATGAGAGAATACCTTTCAACTTTACTGATCACTAAATGTTCATTTGGATAATATTGACTTTTTTCTTTTCAGCACTTGATATTTTGTTTGGTTGAATAATTTTCATAAACTAACATAAGTATTCTGAATAATTTTTTCTCATTCTTTTATTTATTAGCACGTGTTTGCAGTAATAATGATTACTTCTACTATGGAGAGCTAGAATAGTAATTATTTTATTCACATATATTCAGGATTTAAAATTAGCCTGAGAAAGGCTTCAAAATAATTAGAGGTGTGTTGGGAAATACTCTGAGTTTATTTTACTTCTTTAACTAAATTTTGACAAGTTAGTGAGAAAAGTGACTTTTTATCAGGTCATTAAAAGAATGTACACAGCTAAATGACCTGCTCCATTCTCTCAAGTGTAGGAAAAACATGTTGAAAAATCAAGAAACTGCTCCTGTATTACATACTATCATATGTCAACAGAAGATTGTCTATTTATAAAAAGTACAATGCTTCATCAGAATTCAGCTATTTTTAAAAGTATCATTCTCGAGTAGTTTTTAATTTGTTCCTTTTCTTTCATTTTCCTCTCTTCTTTGGCTATAATCCTAGTCATGTGTAGAAGGATGACTGGGAACCACTGCTATTCACTGATGGAGTAGGTACGCTGAACACATGCTGCCAGTGGGACTGTCAGACTCCCAAAGATTTGTCTAAGATGATGCCCCTCCTGAAGAATTCGAAAATCATGATATTTCTTTGTCTCATCCATGTCTCAAAGAAAGAATGCATTCTATTTTTCATTATCTTTTACACTTAGACTGTTATTAAAATGGATTTTTTTTCATGACCCAAGGTAGAATTTCATTCTTTTGCCTCATAGTCACAAACCTAGCCAAGACCCAGTGATTTCTGAGCTGAATTTACTTCTCCCTGCTTTCCATACTTCAGGAACTGCCCTCTGCCCATAACATCGCATTATTTGCTATCATTAGCTTTCAGTTTTCCATAGCCTCAGAATTCAGAATAAAAGTGTTCCCTCAAAACACTCTAACAGAGGTTTTTCAAGGACTTCATGTCTCCCTTCATTGCTTTTATCGCCTTATTTATTAGCTACTCACAACCTGGGAAATAAACAATTCAATACAGCCCACTCCAACCTCTCTCACCAGCTGTACCCAAAGTTACAATGGCCTTTCTTTCTCAGCCTCCTCTTTCATTCTAGATTAGTTTACCTCCAGAGAGTTGTCCCAGTTTGGAAGCAGGAAGCATGATTTCTAGCTTCCTCTCTTCATATCACTCAAGGAGGTAGAAGAAAGTACTTTTAGACAATAATTAACCAATTTATTAATTTCTACAAATGCTGATTACCGTATGTAGCTCAGAGTGAAAAGGCCATGCACACATCAACATAGCTGAGCACAGAGCCCACATCAGCCTGGGCATGTAGTTCAGATGAATTGGATAGCATCTACTGAATACTTAATATTTCTTTTGAAATTATTTTCTATTGCTTGAAAATCACAAAACAGATGTTATGTAGTGATTGCTTGTTTGTGAAGTAACAAAATATGCTCAACATATCATAAGCAAAAAAGATAACTTATTAAAAGCAAGACACTTACCTCATGACATACAAGGGAAAGAAATACAGTTGGGCATCCTAAGGGGCATTCACATTCTTTAGGACCACAAGATCTCCCATCAACACGTCAATACCTCATTCTTCTTTCTCTCTGCAGAAGGGCATTCTCTGCTTCCCCTCTTACACAGTTTAAGCAAGCTTCACATTAGACTCTCCGAGTTCCACTCAAGCAATCTACTGATCCATACCTAATTCTCCCCCATCAGCCTTGTCCAACAGACTGAAACATGAGAACTGAAGCTATTTGAGCAGGTCCTGTAGAATGAGTTTTTCTGAGTTCAGACTGAACAAATTTTTCCCAAGAAAACATAAGGCTGGGAAAAACTAGAGACAGATAGAATGACCTACATTTTTAGAAGACAAAATATTCAAACAAGTATTAAACAAATGCTTCTAAACTACATAATTTGCTTGTTTATTTTGTATTCTCTCTTCTCAACTCAATAGATTATAAAATTTCTGTAGTATTTTGTTTACTACCCAAGTGCCTAAAACAATATCTTGCAGTAAATTTTTGCAAAATGAAAAAATAAAAATATTTTGATAATGATAATATTGGTAATCATAGTAAATGCAAACTAAAGACAGAATAATAAGTAACTATACAAGGGAAGTTATAATTTCTGTAATAAAGTTCCTATAGTATTCAGTACTTCTTGCTTTCATTTACTTGCTATCAAACTATTGTTTTTGAAATAAAGTTCTTAAAAGAAGCAATCAAACTTATTCATCTTAGAACATTTAGTCACAGACTTTTGTAAAAGAGAAGGAGGCCAAGAGATGGGAAGGGAGGGGGAGGAAAGAGGAATAAAAAAAGAATTAATATGTCTTGTGTATGTGAACTAATTCCCAATGTTGAATGTAAATATTATATACTGCAAACATGTACTCATAGTGGAACTTCGCGAAAATTATCTTGGTAACAGTACTCAGGATATTGAGACCACTAGAGGTGGAGAAGCAAACTAGGAACCTGACCCATGAGTTTAGGCAAGACCCTATGACCGACCTTAGCTTTTGCATTATCTTTTCCCAGAAGATTCTGAATTCAAATCTAATTCTGGTTTTTCTGTAATCTTAGAAGGGGTAAAACTTATAGAGGTGTGACTTGCTTTTAACTCAATCTATACTTCTATTATCATCTATGTGAGAGCAGTTTTAGCTTAGGAGTGTGCTATGGTTTGGATTTTAGATGTCTTCTCAAGGCCCAAGGGCCAAAGGATTTGTCCCAGGGGCAGAATTTTTGGGAGATAGTGGAGCCAGTGAGTGGCAGGGCCTCATGGGATGTTCTTTGGCCATAGGAAGGAAGACTTCAAAAGGATTGTGGAATCCTTGTCTTTTTTTTTTCCTGTCTCTCTCTCTTTTTTTTTTTTTTTTTTTTTTTTTTTTGGTACTAGGGATCAAACTCCAGTCTTTCCTCCTGAGAGGCAGGTGGTGGAACCACTGAGCTAAATCCCCAGCCCTGGAATCCTTGTCTTTATCTTTTCTGTTTTGTTGCCCCTCACTCAAAATGTGAATAGTTTTACTCCATCACACATTCCCGGCATGATATATAGCCTTGTCTCAGGCTCAAAGCAGCAGTGCCTACTGGTCATGACCTGGACGCTACAAAACTGCAAGCCAAAATAAACCTTCTCTCATAAGTCATTCCAGGTATTTTGTTAGAGTAACAGAAAGCTGACTAATACTATACAGTCATTTGTTTTCATTCCAAAGAATTGACAAAGGGTTTATTAAATCTAATATCATCATTTACATTATTCAAAATTTAACAAATAACAAATAAAAATAAGTTTACAGTATTTTGATGCAGGAAAGAGTTTTGGCCTCTTATGCCAAATCTATGAGAGTTTGCATAATAAAATTTAGCTAAAATAACATATGTATAGACGTAATGTGAAATTCAGCAATTTTGTCAAAAATTCATTATGTGTAGACAACTCAATTCAACTAATATTTATTTAATTTTTATGTTTATCAAGTATAAAGATGAATATTATTCAAGTCTGGTCTATAAGAAACTTTTAACTTATTAAGTGGAGTGACAGAGAATGGATGATAATAAAGCACACAAGAATCATAATACCTGGCAATATTAAGTCAGTTGCATATACTGTGAGAGGTTCTAAAAAAGCTGTGCAACTTTAACTCAAGGATGAAAGAATCACGTAGGATTTTATCTAAAGCATGAAAGTGGTTATGAAATACAGAAAAGGTTTATGAACAAAATACATTTGGAATGACTCATGAAGAAGAGCCATACAATAGACTAATATTTCAAATTTGAAATTGGGAAAAAGGTTAAAGAAAGGAATATAATGGCAGGAGAAATTATAGCCAGTTCTGAGGAGCAACGTTATTCAATTTGACTGGGTGGAATATTATGCCAAAGGAAGGAAAGAAAAGAAGTCTCAAGAGGAACGGAATCCAAATTTCTCAAGGTTTCAAATAATAGAGGCTCTGTTACTAATTTGGTAGATTTATTAAAAGAACATTGAAATTTTATATTTGGTTGTGCTGCTTAGAGGTGAGCTATGAAATGAACGAGCTGTCAGTGTAGCTTAAGAGTCATAACCAAGGGCTTCCTTAGGCTCAGAAAGTAGTTAAGCCACTGATATCTCTTACGGGTATAAATTAATAAAGGCTGGAACTGGGGCTGAAGCTATAGTCCTGATCATGAGGAGTTAAATATGGGAGGGGTTTATACACAAGAAACAATTCAGAAATAGAAACTACAGTACAAATTTAGCATCTAATAGGAGAGAAGTAAGGGAGAGATGATGCAATAGTGTGATTTAGAATTCTATTTGAATATTAATTATGAACATTAGAATACTGAGACCTGTGAACTAGGAAGCAGTCAACCCAAAGGGGATCCATAAAACTTATGGAAGTACATGAGATCTCTAATGAAAGGAAGATAATGACAGAATTCCAGATGAGTATGGGAAAAGAATTACAGAGGAAGGCAAAAGAGTGTTTGGAGAAATACAGACGTTGTATCATGTCCAGGAAGGCAATAGTGGATTGAAAAAGAGGACATTCACTTTGCCATTCAGGAAGTTAGTGGAGCTGATTGAGAGCACATCCGTGTAGGCTGATTTATTTATAAGTAGATTACAAATAGTGAAATGAATGAGGAGTAAATGGTAAGACATTATAGTTCATTTAGATTGTATTTCTATTAATTTGAGTGGTAAAGGAAAAGAGAATAAGATCATGGTAGCCTGAGATCCAAAGGAACTTCTATTTCCTCCATATTTGATTCTCCAAGGGAAGTAGGTCAATTTGCTATTTCACTTTACTTACATAGAGATTAACAAAGCACACTCTTTAGGACTGTGAAATAGACAGGTTCATTAGCCTTTGCTCCAATGAAAAATTATAGTATTTTTGCTGTCATGATCCATTGGCGTATGAATACATAGCATGTGAAAAAGCCTTCAGATAGTCAGCTGGTTTCATTGTTCATTATCTTATATTTGGAGTTATTTTCTTGGAAGAAATTCCATTTGGCTGTGATTCTAGTATCATTAAAAGAGAAATAATGGTTTGTAACAGAATGCATATTCTCCTTCTGGAAAAATGATAAGTGTTCCATCTTAACTTTTCGTGTCCTGGCACTAATTTTCTCCCATATCCTTCTGTTCTTTTATAATTACAGGCTTTTTCTACTGGTCAGTCATTACCAACTTTACACGGTGTAAAAATATGGGAAGTTTGTGTGAAAAGGAATTTGTGTCATCAACCAACATGTTCTAAAGCCCACAGTTGCTAAAACAGCTCAGCCGATTAACTGCATAGTGTGCTTGTTTCTCAGAAGCACACATCCAAATACTGTGTAGAGAGCAGCTCTATTCTTTGCACACCCAGAGGCAGGCCTTAGTGCAACTACATACAAGTATTTGAGTCCTAGCCCAGGAATAATCACCCACTCTTCCGTCCCAAATAAGACAATTTCATCCCAAGTAAGACAATTCCTATTTCCCAAAGCCATCAGGACACTGTGGTTGTATTTATCTGACCAGAAATCTCTCCCTCTGGGTTACAAAGAGCTGGATAGTAAATTTTCTGCAAAATGCCAAATAGAAAAACTTTTAGGACATTCAGGCTCTCATATAGTCTTTGTTGCAACTATTTGACTTGATGTAGTACAAAAGCAACCATCAGCAATAACTGAGAGACTTATATAGTCGTTGTTGCAGCTATTCAATTCTGATGTAGTATAAAAGCAGCCATCAGCAATAACTAAGAGATTATTTCAATAAAAGGTTATTTTCAAAAACAAACAGCAAGGTAGGACTCACAAGGGATATAGCATTTAACCACCCATGAGCAATCAATATGGGGAATTTAAAAGGATTCTTGAAAAATTCTAAATTCTCAACTTAAACAAGGTCAATTCTAGTATTTTGATTGGACATTTGCATTCCATCTCTGGAAATCTCCCTTACCACCTTCAACACTCTCTACCTGAGATATTTCCTGAAACATAGCATACAGCTTTCTCATTTCTATTTTCCTCATGGCCCACATTACTATGTCCTTTATGCTCATCTTATTGGCTTTTGACTTTACACTTCTCTAGGTTATGACTTCCAGAAAAAAAAAATCTATATCTATATATTTTTTTTCCTTCAGCCATGCTGTTTCTGCCATATAGCCATTTTGCCATGGATTGAATCCCTTGAAATCATGAGCTAGATAAACTTCTCCTTTAATTTGTGAGTTTCAAGTATTTTGTCTGAGTGATGGGAAAGGTAACCAACAGAACTGTATTAGCTTCTAGGACCTCAAATATCAACTAGTCAAAGAAGTATAAATGGTTAAGTGATACAAACTTTCTTGCCTTGTCACCAAATATTCTTTCTCCCATCTAACTTCTCAGATATCCAAAGGTAAAGCAGTTAGCTATACCAGCTCCAAGTTGTCCTTAGCTCTGGTCTGAGGCAGCACACCATTCTGCTTCCTCCTTAGTTTAAAATCTCAATCTTTAAAGTTAATACATCATAGATGAATAAAAACAAACTATACATTGGATAGTATATATTCTGCTTCTACTCACTCTGGCCTTCAGAAAGTTACTACTATGCATGTTAAAGTATTTCCTTTGAGTGATGTCTTCACAGCAGTGCATCAAAGACTCACTATACCTGCTGAGATCATCATTTCCAGACCACATAGTGGAAATTTAAATAGTCTGAGAAATATTTGTTTTAGCTATTTTCCATATTAAAGATATAGTGAACAGTTTTAAAAGAAGTCTTCTACTGCTTTAGAAACAGTTTGAAAAATACCTATTTCACACATGAGGAAACAAGTTCAATGAAGTAAACTTCCTTGTTAAAGATCTTATAGTTGATTAACATAGAGTCAAGATGTCTATTGCACTATTTTGGTCTACTTCATCTTAATAGAATATCCACATTAGTCAATCTCAAGCTATGTTATGACTCTTTTAGAGAAACAATATAATTGCAATTAGTTTTAAAGAATTCATAAGACCACTGTTATTTTATAATTATTCCAAATTAAATTTTCTATTTCACTTTTCTGATATATAAGAACATGTTTTCTATCAGGTTGCATCTTAGAATCTCACTAAGTTCATTTATTAATTCAAGTGATTGTTTGTAGATTCTTTTGAATTTTCTCCATATATAATCATATTGTCTAAAAATAACTTTTCCTAAATCATTCACAATTAAAATTCTATAATCAGAAAAACAAAAATCTATACATATTTTAATACAATAGAAATATTTGAAGGGGAAGAAGAAATGTAAAGCAATTATTCTATAGGAATTTTTAAAAATAGAATCAAAGATTTATTTTCTCTGCAGGAGCAATAGTTATTGTAATAAACTGTATTGGGAAAATCACAGAAAATTTAAGACCCTGTATGATATTTCATGCTTAGAGTTTCAGGGTTTCTGCTGATTGAAGTAATCATTTGCAAAGTCTGAGTTTCCACACAACGTTTGTTTTGCCAACACTCTAGGTTATCTTTGGGTCTTTGGGCCATGATACCACTACCTTGTGTTAGCTACCAAGAGGGAAAGAAGGCTGGATTGGATTATCATATAAACAGTTTCCACTGCTCATATATATTGTTTCCTGAGTCTTTTGCTGATTAGACCCTTGGATACCACAAACTGTTTAAAGGTGAGTGACATAATGATTTCATTTCCATCTTAATTTTTCAAAATAGTAAATCATGTTTCCAACAAACTTTCCCTTTCATGATTGAAAATACACCAATGGGACTATAGTCATTTCTTTGTCTTGTTTTTAAAGTAAGAACTAGGTACTTTGTTTAAATCTCAAAAGAAACAGTGGTTCATGGTTTTAAAAGAAATGTCCTTTCAGAGAACATTTGAGATCAAGTTTCTCTATGAGTGAAAGTACAGTTAAAAGCAAAGCAAACATACTCTTTAGCTGAGGTCATTCATGTGCCCAGACTCCTCAGGCTACTCTGGCATTGTGAATGCCATTTTTTGAGCCTCCAGTATGAATAGAAGAAAAACAAGTAATAAAAGATTCAAAAAGTCTACAAGGAGATTCCAAGGAAGAACCTACAGTTGAGGATAAGGGAGAGCATCTTCTGAAATCTGCCCGGTCAGATGTGCTGAACTACCATGAGGAATTATTGTTTATGTGAGTAAAATGCCTAGGAAGGTGACAGGTTAAAGTAAGATACTTCCATCTTAGCTAGAATTCTCCAATGCTCACAAAGCCATCTTCAGTGGCTCAGCAAGAGCACTGATTTTCAGGGAGTTCAAGAGAGGATAGCAATTATGAGAAAACTGTAGAATTGTTAACTCTTTTACCATGGCCCTGATGTGGAAGATTTTCCTGCATTGTCTCCCTATATGCATGGAACATTTTTTTGTTCCATGTTTGTATGAATATTACAGTCATGAATAAAATGCCTGCATATAAGATTACCTAACTCCAAAATATATAGAGATATTGGAAATTAATAAATAAACATGATATATAGTGGATTATGGTAAAAATTTAAAGAAACAATTTTCTTTATTTGAGTTTAAATTATCCTTTTAACAGAAAACTAATTTTCTTCATAACAGAAAAATGTTATAAAAAGAGAAGCTACAAATTAGCTCTTTTATTATAATCTTATCATATAAGTTTTGATGTTGTTATATCAATTTATATTAGTTTCTAAATTGCCTCACAACATTTATAGCCAAGAAAAAATCAGAATATTTTATAAGGATTCTGTCCTCACAGTTTTTTTTTTATATTAATTGGTACATTTTAGGTATACAATACATTTACATTTATCATTGGGCGTTTGTACTTGAACATCATGTATCTTAGTTCTTAATTTTTGATAATAGTTGGTATTACATCTACCATACCTTCAAGCTTTAGTAAGTTAAAACAGTATCTGCTGAGATTCTCTTATAATTTCATTTCTCCCATTTGTGTTCATGCTTATTACACAGAGGCTATAAGAATTTATTTTCTTTAAAATTGATTGAGATATATATTCTGAAAGATATCTCTAGCTTCTAATTTTTAATAAGAAAAAGCAAACAAGTTAATAACAAAAACACCATATCGCAGTTTTCTTTGCTGGAAATGTCCCCTATTTAAGAAGACCTAAATTTTGGTAGTTGAAAATGTAAAGGAAAGGTACTCTAACCTGTCTGGTGGCTGACAGAGAAGCTTCATACTATTTAGGAACCTCAGCTCCCAAGGGTCCTGAAGTCAGTGAGAGTAACCCCCCAATCTGAAACTTAGGTTGAATATTTAAGACACCCCATTCAGCTGATCACAACCTAGATTCTGTCTGGCCACTCTTGTTTCAGTGTTCTGTGCTTCTGTGATACTGAGGAAAACCAGGAAATGTGAATTGCTTACCAGGAAAGTATAATCATTAGGCAAGTGGAGTGATATCTAAAAGAGACTCTCGTTTTTAATGATTGATACAGCCTAGGGATGTAGCCACTTATCTATGAGTTGAATGAAGAAAAAAGAAACTCAGCCACAAAAGCATGAGTAGTATATTCTACTCTCCCTAGACAGTGATAATGGTTTCCGTTTTTTGTATCTCACTAAATGCCCCACTGAACACAATGGATACTCAAATATGTGTTGATTCCATTTTAAATTAAAGGACATATCCAGTTATATATGTCAAGGGACTTGGTTGCTTTTATTCCACCATTTTCCTCTGAGCTTCCAGAAGAGTTTAAAAGGCTTCTGACTTATTAATAAGAAATGCTGTCATTAATGAGTATATTGGAGAAACAATTCCTATATCTGTCCTCTACCTCTAGCTTAAATCAAGATTTATAAAATTAACCCATTTTATTTTTACTTAAGAATCTTTTCATAGTGAATACAAAACATAAACTAATAACATTAAAATATAATCAGAAACTCACCCTCTTAGATATTTGGAAAATGAATATTTCAGTAGGACAATTTGACAAAATTAGAAATTTTAAATTTACAAATCATGTGCAAATCATTTGACAGAGTTACAAATCATGTGCAAATCATTTGACAGAGCCACTATTAGCAATACATATACTGGCTCCATGGATACTAGTATTATAAGACATAATTACAAAGATAGTGCAGTGTATGTGCTAAATTCCACAATATAGATAATGGTTAAAAACAATATAGTAGATTCAGATGATATAAAATTATAAAACCATTAAAATGAATGAAATACATATGTATCTATTAATATGAAATCTTCAAATCTTATTATTACTTGGAAAAAGTACAGACTCATATATCACATGTTCTCTCATGTTTTTAAATAAATCTAAAGTGGGCTAAGTAAATTATGAAATGTCTTAAAAGTAAAAGTAAAGGTGAATCTTAAAAGACCTCCTTTTTTTTTTTTTGGTATCAGGGATTGAACACAGGACCTTGCATTTGTGAAGCAGGCACAGGACCACTAACCTAAATCCCTCGCCCTACTTTTATTTCAATTAACTATTACAACAGACTAGAAATGAACCAGTTGTGAACAAATTGTCATTCATTAAAACAATAAGTAATCACTGAATGGATGAGTCCAGTTCTAAAGTCTATGAAAAACACATAATCTGGCTGAAACTTTAAGAATAATATTATATAGAAGTAGCAGTAAGGATGGATTGAAATTATATTATTCAAATTTTGTTAAAACTCATTTCTAAAAAATATATCCTAAACTTAATCAATTCAACAAATATTTATTCAATACATACTATGCTTCCTCTCTTCTAAAAGCTGAAGTGAAGGACACTGACAAAAAGATCAACCTCTTTTGCATTCTAGTGAAAGAGGATAAAGGAAAAAGGAGACATTTATTTTAATTTAATAAGGCATGCATTAGAAGATGTATATAGAAAAAAATAAAGCGGTGAAGTGGGATTAAAAAACTAAAGGAAAATTGTAATTTTAAAGATGATGGTCATGAATCTGATTTTACTTGTAACATGCAAAGTCAGTAATGCCATATTTCTAAATATTTTGCACATGTATAGCCTTATTTAATATCAAAACATGTTTTCAATATTCATTTGCTATAATCCTATGCTAAGGGTTGTTCTGAGCATTTTCTATGGGGATTTCTACTGAATTCTAAGAAAAGCCTTATGAAGAAAGTAAAACTATTATTCTGATCTTATTGATAATTAGATGGAGACAAAAAAGTTAGGTGAACAGCATTTTACTTTTTAAATGAAAGTTAGTATATAATTACAGCAGCAATTGTTTACATAGGTATATTTACATATTTATACACATGTATATGTACATGTATCATGTTACATATCTTATTAGAGTTAGGATCAAACTGACAATGCTGGGACTAGAGATGATTTTTCAGTAAGTCACAGATACTCGAGGTCCACAGCACACAGGAGGGAACCTCAGGATCAAAGTTCTCACTGGCCTTATCTGGATCAAACCTTCCTGTGACCTCCTGTGAAATTCCTGGCATCTGGATACTCCACTAGCATGATAATTAGTGCTGCTAGAAACTCACCAAAAGAGTATGTCTCACCCAAGAACCAGAAGTCTTTAGCTCTTATCTGCCTTGCACCCTTGATGCTATCACGCCCCTTTGAGTCTCATTTTCACCTCTACAATGTGAAGGAGTTTGGCTTGTCCAGTTCTAACCTCTATGACTCTATATGAGGAAGAGTAGGTCAATGAACTCTCTAGGTTTCCTGGATGCCAGGAAATTAGCCAAAACTCCCAGGAAAGCAACTCACATTCCTCTCCAGTCCCAGAAAAGTTTAAAAAGTTAAACTGTACTTAAGAGTTCTGCCAACACAAAATGATCAGTTGTTTTGAGAAATTTACAAAATGAAATGACTTACGAATACATACCACATCATTGTCTCATATTCTATCAGTACAGAAAGTTACTGTACTATATTGGTATTATAACTATGGTAATCTCTAACCTAAAAATGTTTAAAATTCTGACTTGTGCTAGGAGCATATGAGTTTATATATTAACTTGCCTTCAGGAAGGTAAAGAAATACAGATGTTTCTGGACTCACATTTGAGTCTGTGACTGAGAATGACTTGTAAAGTTTTACCCTAACAGGCCTTGGATATGTAGTCTATTATGTCATTCCATTTTAGGACCTGAGAGTGTAGTCTCTCAAGGCATGCCTGGATATTCCATCCTGTATTTCTTCCTGCTGAGTGTTATGATTGACCTGGGGCAAACGTGCTTCTGTGATCACTTCCCCTGGACTCAGTGGTCCAGCTGCTCAAAAACATGCAATTCTGGAACCCAGAGCAGACAGAGGTGGGTGTAAGCTATGTAGTTTTTCTTTTTGTCCTAGGAGACCTTGAAGATGGAGTCAGCAGTATCAGAAGCACCACACCAAGCAGTGGACAAAAACTATATCTCAAACAACCACTTGAAAATTTGGTTGGAATTGAGATTTTTTTTTCCTAAATGAAGCTGAAATGAAATCTACTTTTGTTCTCTCTATACAAACAAAGGGTTTCAAAGAAATTTAATTAAGACTTTGTACAATATTTTCAGTTGACTAACTTATTTAGAATTGCTACTCAAGATCTTTTTCAATCAGCATATAGCTTTGCTTGCCTGTAGTTAGTGACTTAATTATAGAGAATTTTCTACTCATTAAACTGAGTCTAACAGGACTTCAATTGAACAGCACTGCAGCACTTCACTCAATTGTTGGCATATACAAAATGGCAAGAAAATTGTGTTTACTTGATAGCATTTAATAAGTCAGTCTTTTCACCAATTGAGACTGCCCATTCCCCACATTTCCCTAAGTCTGATAAATTTTTCTGTACAGTGGAGGCGTTCACATGACTTGAGGGAGAAAGATACATAGTTAATGTGTTTTAAATATCATGGCCCTTTTAGAGACTTATTTTTGAAAAACATTTTTACATATGTAGTGCAAATATCATCAAACTCAACAACTGGCTTCCAATACACCATCTACTAAATGTGTGAAAATAGATTTGTTTATGATACCCCTCTGGTCTAGAGCCCTTTAGTGGCTCTATTACCTACCAAACAAAGTATAGCATATCCCATCCATCCCAGTTGTACACTCCTTCCAGGTCAAACAAGGACCTCCCCGGGAGCTCCTGGTCCCTTGTACCTCTAATTTTTGTTATTGCTCCAACTGTTCTTGCCTTTTTCACTTGGGAAATTTACATGAGTTTTTTCAATAAGTCACTCTTCTGCCACTTTGACTTTGAATCTTTGACCCCACATCACCCTGACCCTATTTCAATCATTAACTAATCACATTTTATTGCCATGTTTTAGTTTTAAGCAATTTGCATGAACTTACTTTCTTTTCCTTCCATTCCCTTCCAGGATATCCATCAGGGCACATGGGTGTGACCTTCGTGGGTGTCACACAGGCTTCCCCACACAGAAGGGCTTCTTGTGTGCCTTAATTCTGCCATTGTTCTCAAAAATAAATTTCACTATAGAAGATGTCTCCTGTTTTTATTTAGTCATGGTCTCTCCAAATTATGGAGCTGGTCCAGAGTTTCATGAATTTATATCAACTGTATATATATCAACTTGCCTGATTTTCCATGAAAACTTTCTTTCCTTTTATTTGTAAATGCTCAATGATATTTTTCTTATAGGGTTGGAGCTTCAGTGAATACACACATACTAAGCAACTTTTTCCTCACTCTTACAGACAAATAGTAGTAAATAATTACTATTGGGATAACTCATGTGACCAGCTTTGCACCAAGCAGGAGACCAGAGAGTGTAACTGGCAAAAATGTCCTATCAACTGCATCCTGGGAGATTATGGGCCCTGGTCAGACTGTGACCCTTGTCTTGAAAAACAAGTAAGTGATTCATAGGATGCCCAGGAAATCAGAATTACAATAAAGTGCTCTGGTTTCCTTACAAGCCCAACAATACAGAAATGTTGAGTTGCTTCAGTTTCAAAAAATAAACTGTCCCAATTACCATTGAGAAAAAATTTCGTTTAGCAATTTTCAGGGGTGCAGAGTCAGGGAAAAGAAGGAAATTCTACCTCCACTATTGGTCTTATATTTATCTGCATCTGCATTCCACCGCTTGTACCTTCTGAGAGTTCTAAAAGCAAAGACAGGCAATAAGAAATAGAGTTCAGTCCAGTGCTTAAAACTAAAAAGAAACAAGGGAAATGAATCAAAAGCCTGACTCCTTATCCTTCCTCTGAATGCTCTGTTCCCTTGGGAAAGTCCTTCGATTTGTTTATTGTTCCCAGCTGAAATATTGACCCACCACATGCTCATTCCTGTAAAATGCATTGACCCTTGTGAACCCTAGTCGGGGTGGGGTGCTGAGAGTCCACACATGAGAGAAGAAAAAGAAACTCATTTGTGGAGCACCCATTCAACAAGGGCAAGTGTTTGAGGCCCTTACATGTAACACTTTATTCAAATGTCAGATCGTACTCTATTTTTCTGTCCATTTTGTACATGTGCAAGTTACAGCTCATTAGGGGTTAAATAATTTGCCAAAGAATACACTATTAATTAATAAAGTAGCTGTATTTTTAACTTAATATTTTTATTCCAAAGTCAGTTGTTAGTCCTGTAATATATCTATCCTCCCCTGATGCTTCATTTTAGTACTCACCATTTAAAATCTTTAAACATATGGAGAAAATGTCAACTTCTGTTTCCATGGTGACTTCTGTATGCAAAAGAAACTTAAAATTCTTTCACATTTATCACTCCACACTGCCTTTGAGATAGAGGACTATTGTTATTGCCTAGAAGAATTTACTGCACTCAGGAGTATAAACATTTGTCTGTTTTGATGTTGATGGAATTTGGAACCATATAATTACAGAGTTAAAAATCTTAAAAATTCTTTCACCCCATTTTCTCATTTTGCAGATTGGGAAACTGAGGCTCCAGGAAGTGGTTGCTTCCCTAAATATGCACAATCATGGATCTGGAAAAATTGTCACCAAAATTTAGGAAATACCATCATAGGAAAAACTCACCACTGTGATTGAGAAGCAGGATTTACCTAGATATATCTTAACCTTGACCTTGTGTTGGAGTTACTCACCTTTTTCTCCTTTCCTTTCAGACTAAGGTTAGATCTATCTTGCGCCCTAGTCAGTTTGGGGGACAACCATGTACTGAGCCCCTGGTGACCTTTCAACCATGTATTCCATCTAAACTCTGCAAAATTGAAGAGGTTAACTGCAAGGATAAATTCCGCTGTGACAGTGGTAATGTACTTTTGTAAAATGTAGTGTCCATTTAAAACGACTTAACTAAATCAAAGCTCTTCCAGTGACTACAAGTAGAAACTCCACTTCATCTAAGCATGGGTGAACAGGGCTGTTGACCTATACATTACCAAAGTATTCACGTATGAGATTACAGCTTTCAAGTTATACTCATTTTGATGGCTTTCTTAATTCATTTGCTCATCAACTGATAGTGTTCAGGTCCCTCCATTCTTCTAAAGCAGGGAGGGGAGAGAAAAGGAAAAGGGGAAAATGTAGGCAAATATTTTTATTGATAAGCACAAATGTATAATGAAGATAACTGAAAAATGGCAGGTTAAAATGGTTTTCAATACAGTTAAGAATATTGAGGTGGGCCAGGGATTTAGCTCAGTGGTTTCACCGCCTGCTGCACAAGTGCAAGGACCTGAGTTCGATCCCCAGTACCAAAAAAAAAAAAAAGAATATTGAGGTACGATACTATGAGAATGACTAGAAATGATGGGGTAATTTTCTTGATTGGCTCCAAAGGTACTTCCAAAAGATAAGGTCAGAATCATTTTAACAATGGCTACACTACCTTTAAAACTAATACTCATTCAGGTACATCCAGTACTTACATTTCATTAAATTATAATCAAATATTGAATATATTAATCTTATGCATTCTCTTTAATTAACAGCTCTTCAATACTCATCATTCTAAACAATATAGATCAGATTTCTGCAAATTTTTCAGTAAAGGTCCAGATGGCAATATTTTAGCCATATGGTCTATCTTGCTACCACTCTACTCTGGTATTGTAGCACCAAAACTGTCCTTGATAGTATATAAACAAATGAATAAGGCTGTGTTTCAGTAAAATTTTATTCACAAAAAAGAGATACAGGTCAGTTTTATCACATGAGCCATAGTTCACTGACCCCTTCCCTGGTCAATTTAAAGTTATAATAAATCAAACGATAGATAAATAAATTGTATCATTTCTGTGTAATCTACTATATACTGAAAGTAAAATATTTATAGCTCAATAGCAAATTTCATATTCCATATTGAATTGACCCAAGACCTTGGAACTAACGTTTTTTAACTCTTAATCTTACTTCTTGCCTTCAACTTTTCCAAATGCTTCTGAATGTCAGACAACAATGCTTGTATCAATGTTTTTTTCCCTAATGTTATCTCAACCCCAGGAAGTAAGAGCAGGATTTGAGTAGTGAGGTACAACTTTGTATCTATATGAATAAGGTCATTTCACAAATTGACTTAGAGGCAATGTGAGCAAAATCTTGATCACAATGGTTGAGAGTAATACAGGTTGAAAGATTGCACCTAGACTATTAAGAGTTAAAACCAAAGTCTGTTAGAGACTACAAAAATAGTTCTTAGAAGAAATCTTTCTTTATTCAGTAGATGATGTGAAATTGATTATAAAATAGCTTTTATTAGGCTGAGAAAAACTTGAGCAACCTTTAGATTCATTCATTGCTCACCAGTACATAAGGATTGATTTCAGAAAAGTTAGCGGTGTAAGCACAGCTGATGTCCATTTTACCTGAAATACTGTATGTCCACCACCATTGATAAAAGTTTGAATCATTTACAAGGAGTCCACAATGAATTAGTAAGCAGCTACCGCTCTAAGATCTCTGTTGCCCAGAACTCTGAACCCTGAACCCTTTGATATATCCATAATCCAGCCATTGACAGACAAAGTCCTAGCACAGTTATGGTTGGCATCTTTTCTGATTGGATGACCGCATGGCCTCCCTTATCCACAGTTTCGTTTTCATAGTCTCAGTTATCTGTAGCAAACGACTGTCCAATTAAATTAAATGGCAAATTCCAGAAATGAACAATTTATAAGTTTTAAATTGGATAAGAGTAATGAAATCGTGTGTTAGCCCACTCTGTCTTGCCCAGGACTATATCATTCTGTTGTTGAGTTTATCCACTCTATACACTGCCTGATAACTCTTGGTTATCAGATCAGCTGTTGCACTCCCCCAAGCATTTTTGTCAAAGTAGTACATAGTCATTAGTTGAGATGCTGATCACAAGTTAAGCCAGTCAACCAGATAATCTTGAGTAAAACATTTATTTATTGTCCATTAGAACTGGATATAATGGCACAGATACCAGCATCTCTAAATGCCAGCAAGAAGCTGAAAGACAAGAGAAGAAATCTATCATTATATGCAAGACATTTCAATTTCTGCAATATATAAACACTGATTTCAAGGATCCTGATGAAATTCAGCAAGACAAAAGAAAGGGAAATTATTTGTGTTTATGGAGTTTGTATTATTTTCCAAAGTCACTTAACTTGCTACCTTGGCACTTAATTTATCAAAAAAAAATAGATACACTGAATTATATGTAGTAAAGTAATTATACACAGTAGTTATGTGTAGGAAAATATATAAGGAGTATATTTAATAAAATCAATAGTAATTATATAGCAAAATAATCATTTATATAAAATATACAGATCATAAATGTATAATGTATACAATCACATTTTGAAAAAATTCAATGAAGATATAGAAAATTTCCATAAACCCCAAAAGTTCCCTTCTTCTTTCTAATTAATCCCTCAAAACTTTATTTTTGTTCTTGAATGTCATATAAAGGAATAATACATATGTCATGACTCATGTCATATTCAACATAAAATTATGTCAACCTAAAATTTTAAAGATTCAGCCATGTTATTGTTTATACTAGTGGAACACTTTTGTGTAAAATCACAGGTTCAAAAAAAAAGAAAACAATGATCCAGACTCTGCATCTGAATCAAAACAAAATTCTGAACCTGCTCTTAATCTTACTCTATAGAACATGAGCTCTACAGCAAGTTTACTGTAATGAGATGACAGAATTACTACTCTTTTTAAAACCTCAATTGCAATTAAATAATCCTATGGTGACTCTCATCATTTTAAAAATTAGAAGAATATATCCTTATACATTCCTAAGCCATTATCAAAAATGATGAAAACTTGGCCTTCACTTTTTCTTGAAGTTTAAAGTATTTGTGTTTCAAGTTAATAAATGCTTCCTAAATGATAATGTGTTGCAGTGCTGTCCTGTGCTTTCCTTGCTCAGGGCGGTGTATTGCCAGCAAGTTAGAATGCAACGGAGAAAATGACTGTGGAGACAATTCAGATGAAAGGGCATGTGGAAGAAAAAAGCCAGTGTGCCCGCGGACGTACACCCCGATCCCTAGTGTACAATTGATAGGCGCGGGGTATGTAACACATATTTTATCATTTTGGGGAGAAAATTTATCTCAGAACTAATGATTTTGGAATAGTGAAGCATTGCTCACTTTCTTCATTAGCTTCTTACTTCAGTGGTACTTCCATTCACGAACTCAATTCTTTACAGGCTTCTGATCAAAGCCCAAATTGGTTGCGTACCGAATCAAATTTCTCCATAAGGTCAACATTGAACTTAACCATTAAATTCGCTTCACAACCAATTCTGTTTGCAACCAGAATTATGGAAAAAAGTTCATGAATCCAAGTACAACTCTCACACCAGCCCTGTCTCTTGACACTTGATTATCACATTCAGGCAGGCCCTTATCCTCTCTCCCTGGGAATAAGAGAATTTAGCATTTGTCACATTTAGTTTCACAGTGATGTTATAGGTTTCTCATAAACATTTTTTTAATTTTAATTCTCACACATCCCTCTGAAAGCTCTAAAATAGATCAGGGCAGGTTAGAGAAAGGTTAGCAAGCTGGGAAGGGCCAATGTGGATTCTTGAGATTAGGTCTTGTAAGAGTAAGTAAACACTTAGAAATATCAGGGGCAGATAGAGTAAGAAGGTATCAGAAAAGTGTGTGTGTGTGTGTGTGTGTGTGTGTGTAAAAGTCAAAACACCAAAGAAGCAAAACCAGTCTTTTGTTATGAGAAGGGAGCCCAGCATCAACAATGAGAGGCAAAGACAGAAAGAAAGGAGTTTGGCAAATATAGAAATATAGGATCCTTACAATGATTTGAAAAACATTAAGAGTAAGTGTTGGGGCCGGGGATTTAGCTCAGTGGTTCCTCCACCTGCCTCACAAGCACAAGGGCCCGAGTTCAATCCTCGATACCAAAAAAAAAAAGTAAGTGTTAAGTGGATGTGGGTTCCTCTCCCATGGATCATATCATACACAGGAAGATCAGAACTTACAAACTAGGAAACTGAGCCTCAGACAATTTTTAAAAGCTATCAAATTCTATCAAGTACTAAATGGTGGAAAAAGCATTCAAATCCAGAGGTCAAATCCCAGACAGTTTCCATCATTCCGTGCTGATTTGAGATAACATCCTCTTAGGGATAAGAAAACACTGGAAGAAACCTCAAGAGACCATGGGATTTTATCTTTGATGAGTGCTCGGAAATTCTAATATTCCCTTTCAGGGTTATCTACTTGTTAGGGCACTGAGAGTTGAGCAAGGTGCTCCAAATTCATCAGACTGACCCAAAGTTTTAGAATAGTTTAGGCTATATAAGCGAAGTCAAGGAAAACAGAAGAACTGAGCCTTAGTCTGAAGCACAGGAAAATCAGTAAAATTAATCTCCAGTGCCTTTCCATTCCCATGATAAAATAAAAACTAAAAAGTTTTCTAAAACCTTCAGTTTGGGCCAGAAAGCAAACCATTTACCATCACTTTCTGTTGCTTCATATTGGACTTTTTAAAAATCCAAGTCTTTCATTAATTTTGCCAGAGTTGCATAATATGAAATTTGAAGCCCAAGAGACAAATAGCCACAAATGTAAATACAACTGTATTTGATTTAGAATAAAAGCTAGAAGACATTGAACAAGGGCTCCGGTAACACAGAATAGACATTAGTGTGCAAGTCAAAGGAGCTGGGTTCTAGATATTCTGCATTAACTCACTACATCATAACATCTGCGGACTTCACTTCCCGTATCTGAATGTTGGATGACCACAACTAATAAGAGGCTCTGTCCTAAGAATTTCTCATTACTGCTGATTTCAATAACAGTGCTTGAACATCTTATTTTTATCCATGTGTTTAATTGGTTTTCTTGTTTTCTTTTCCCTGGAAGAAAACCTTAGCCAAACACTCCTGCAGATAATCACATTTTCTAATGTTCTGATTGATGAAGAGTAACATTACAAACTCACCTCTTGCTCCATTGGCCCAGACTCTAGAGTTACAGATGGAAAGGACCACATGCTATGTGTACTTTGGCAAAAGGACTAAAAGGCCTTCTGCCAACCGGAGCTGTTGTCCCAAGGATTCTCAGAAATGAGCAAAAGCTGCTGGCTCAGGGACAACTAGTCCTCTCCTTGCCTCCCAGAGGACTGAGAAATTTTGCTGACCATAAATTCTTTTTAATGTACTGGGCTTAGAATTTCTGTCTTCTCCATTCTGCCCCCAACACATTTATACCCACAAATGGTAGCTTCCTAGGTGACTGTCTTTTTTTTTTTAAGTGCCATGTCTCCATGAAAAATTCTAACCAGACATATCAAATCCTACTTTGCTAACCTCAGGCACCGAGTCCTATATCTGAAATAATAATTAAGAAATGATGCTGTTTGTTTTCTATCTGGCTCAGTCAAGTACATACATAAATATATACACCCATACATATGTATATATGCATACACAAACATGTATATTTTTGGTGTATATATTTTTAGTTAGTGGTAGAGTGCTTGTCTCACATGTTCAAGCCCTCAGATCCCATAACTAGCACAGCAAAAATAAAAAGTACAAAGTATTAAACATAAAGATTAGATAAAAGCACTTTAGAAAGCTGAATTATTAAATGTCACTACGTATTTGAAATGAAATTATTTAAAGTCAATCTAAGCATTTCAGAGGAGAGGGAAAAGATTAGAGGTAAAACCTGCTGCATAGTTGGCTTAGCTCCTAAATGATTCCATAGTTATGCCCCTATGGAATCACTGTCATAAAAATCCTACCTTTAAAATCTCTGAAAGCCATTTTTCTTAAGCTTTTTTTGTGTGGCAAAGCCATAGGTACATAGTATAAGGCAGTATAAGATGAAGAATTCTTTTTTCTTCATGGAACTGTCCTAATTTTTAAAAATGCAAATGAATGAGTCTCGGTCATACCCGTGTTTGTCATGTTAATTTGAGTACTTTGGAAAGTTCTTCCAGATCAGTTTTTCATACTTCTTTCTTTAAATTCCCATTGATACAAAATTCAAATATGAATAAAACAAATTTGAAATTGTTCAGCTATTTGAGTATGATGTGCATCTTAGAGAACCCACAGAAATTATCCGTTTTAAAAAGTTTTATTGAGATATAATGCATGTATTATGCAATTCGGTCATTTAAAGTTTACAATTCAATAGTTTTTAGTATATTTATGTAACTTTCATCACAATATAACTGTAGAACATGAAAAACAATAAAAAAACCTTTATGCTTAAATTCCAAAGTGGGCGCACCATTTTATATTCCCTCCAGTCATGTCTGATTGAAAATCAATTTCTCTACATCTTCACTGACATTTCTTTTTTACCCATTTTTATTTATTTATTTTTGGGGGGGTGCCGGAGATCGAACTCAGGACCTTGCTCTTGTGAGGCAGGCGCCGGAACTACTGAGCTAAATCCCCGGCCCCACCCATCTTTTTTATTAAAACCATCCTAGTGGGTATGGAATGATATCTCCTTGTAGTTTTGTATGTCCTGAATGACTAATAAAGTTGAGCATCTTTTCATGTACTTCTTAATTATTTACATAACTTCATTGAAGAAATATCAGTTCCTTGTCCACTTTTTAACTAATTTGTTTTAATTATTGATTTCTTTTTTGAAAATATTGATTTCTAAGAATTCTTTGGAAACTCTTTGTCTTGGAAGCCATGTCAAAAATAAATTGATCACAGGCATGTTTTTTCCCCATCTCTGGACTTAATTTTTTAAAAATTCTTTTATTGGAACATTTTAGGTATACAATACCTTTACATTTATCATTGAGTGCTTGTACCTGGACTTAATTTTATTTATGATTATCTATCCTTAAACTAATAGACACAGTGTATTGATTACCCTGGCTTTATATCCAAAACTGTTGTTCTTCCAACTTGTCCTTCTTTTCAGATTGTTTTGACTATTCTGTATCTCTGTATTATTAGGTGAATCCTAGGTTCATCTTGCCAAGTTTTTCGGAAAAGGCAGGTTGGATTTTGATAGAGATTGTTTTGAATCTATAGATCAATTTTGGAAGTACTACCATCTTAATGATATAAACTTCCAATGCATAATTATGGAACATGTTTCTATTTATTGAAATCTTATTTAATATCTTGCTGCTGATCTTTCTTTCCTTTTCTTTTTTTTTTTTTACTACTGGGGATCAAACTCAGGACCTTGCACTTTCGAAGCAGGCAGGGGAACCACTGAGCTAAATCCCCAGCCCTCTTGCTACTGATCTTTGATACTTTTAAAACTGTTTTAAAACATATTGAGAATTTTATTTTTAGGTGCTACTGTAAATGAAATTATCTTAATTTTATTTTAGGGGATGTTCATTGCTATTGTGTAGAAATATATTTGATTTTTAAAAAAATATTCAACTTAAATTTTAATGTTTTTAATTAATACATAATTGTGCATATTTATGAGGTATAGTGAAGTATTTCAATACATGTAAGCATTTTATAAATAATAAACTTAAGACATACATACAGTGTGTAAATATCAGACCAGGTTAATTGACATAACAATCATCTCAGACATATATCATTTCTTTGTGTTAAGAACACTCAAAATCCTCCCTGCTAGCTATTTGAAATATTAAATTAATTGTTGCCAACCATAGTTACCCCACTGTGCTAGAGAACATGAGAAGTTATTCCTCTTGTAAAACTGTACCCCTGTACTCATTAACTCTCCTGCTCTATCCTTCCCTCCTCCATACCCTCTCTAGGCTATGATAGCCACTGTTCTATCCTCTACTTCTCTGAGATCAACAATAGCTTCCACAAATAAGTGAGAATAAGCCACAGTTGTCTTGTTGTGGCTGCTTCTTCACTTAACAAACATCTTCCTGTTCCTCCCATGTTTCTGCATTCTCTTTTATGGTTGAATAATATTCCGCTGTACATACACACTTCATGGTCTTTACCCATTCATCTGTCAATAAACACCTACATTGATTCTATATCATGGTTAAAGTAAATAGTACTGCAATAAACCTGTGAGTGCAGATGTCTCTTTTCTCTTTGACATACTGATTTCAGTTCCTTTGGATGTATGTGCAGTACTGCAATTGCTATATTATGTGATAGTTCTATTTCTAGCATTTTTGGTAAATTCCATACTATTTTCCATAATGGTTGTACTAATTTATATTCCTACCAACAGTGTATGAAAGTTCCTCTTTCTTGGTATCTTTGCCAGCATTTTATGTGTTTGCTAATAGTCATTCTAATTGGATAAGACAATATTTAATTGTGATTTTGATTTGCATTCAAAATACACTACAGTTGATTTTTGTCTGTTGATCTTGAATCCTGCAAGTAATCACTCTTGAATTTAATATGAAACTCATTTGCTGAAATTTAGATGATACATTTTTTCCATTAACAAATTGCTAAAACTAATATGTATCATTTAATCTTACATGGCAGGCTAACAGGCTGAGCCTGGTATAATCACTATTAATTTCTACACCTACCCTAAAGAAGCAATTATCTCCATTTTTCAAGTGAGCAACAATTTCCTAAGCTTTAAAAACTGTATATGTGTCTCTGTGCATTTTTACATTAATACAGCCATATTGGTAGAGGATTCACAAGTATTTATATTAATGAATAATTTATTTTTAATGCTCTAATATTACTTTACAACTTTCAAATTATCCTTGCACCTTTTTGATTGTTATGTCAGTTGGTTAGAATAACCAACTAATAATTGATTGAATTTTCTACTTTAAATCCAAATGCTTAAGAGCAAATCATGAAAGTCTCATCTAGTGGACTAGTGAACTACATCTCGGTGTCATCCCAGACAAGTCTGTTCTTATCACCTCTGTGTGGGAAGTATGGAAGGTGATGCTGCGGCCTCTGGTAGACGTGAAATCATTTAGGGACATTTTGTCTCTTAAGTTACAAATATAGAATTATAAGAAAAATAGATATGTAGGTAGTAGATGATCCTCAGAAGGACTGGTAAAGTTCCCTTGAGCACATCACCATCATCAGAACACACAGGTGTGCGTATGGATCCTGATGGAGGTCAGGTAGGAGTGCTACTCCTTCTGCTACAAGGAGATTCCCAATGACATTCTCCAGAACTGTGTCTTCTAAACAAGACAATGTTAGCTGGTCGAATATATTTTGAGACTGATAATGTCTATTTTTAAAATGCTCTGTCATAACCTATAGAAGACAATTTTTGTCATTTATATAATGCAGAATTACCAAACTTTTGGAAAAAAATAACTGTTTTCATGGAATACCACATCCAAGAATTTGGAAAAGTATGAACCTCTTGAAGAAATTTTTCATCTACCATAAAATAACTTCTTAAACATGATTTGTGTCAAGCTAACTAATCTATACATGCCTCAATTTCCTCATTTGTAAAATGGATATAATAGTTGCATCTATAGCCTATGATTTTTATATACATTAAATAAGTTAATAATTATAAGGCACTTTAATATTTTAAGGCACCCGTTTTGTGTATAGTAAATGGTCCATAAGCTTTTGTTAAATAAAGTATATTTTAAGTATTATAATTAATTAATTATTATAACAATAAAGTTATTGTAATTCCATTAAAATACTGTTATTATTATTTCACCATTACCTCTGTATTGGAATTGTTTTACTATATTATATACAATGGAATGGACCTAGAATGACATTCATTATATAATAATTTATTTCATAATCTGTTTTCAAATTTGCACCGGCTTTCAAAGTCATAAAAAATTATAAACCCAAATTTTATTTCATATTGAAAGCCTAGAACAATTAAGTGATTGGAATGGGGGAACTTTAGAGTCAGCAAGGCATAGTTTTGGCTTCAAGCTCTTTGGAAACCTCACCAACACTAGGAAAAAAATAGGCTTTCCTTTAGGTCATTTGTCATGTGTCAAAAATGTCTAGGAAAAGGAATTTCTTTCATATAAGTAAGATAAATTTGAAAAGATTGCTCTACATCTATTGAATTCTTGAAAATTATTTTGTTTCTAGATTTCATTTTCTGGCAGGAGATCCCAGAGGAGAAGTCCTTGATACTTCTTTCACTGGAGGAATATGTAAAACTGTCAAAAGCAGTAGAACAAGTAATCCATACCGCATGCCAGCCAACCTGGAAAACGTCAACTTTGAGGTATGACACTCTATAATGGTGGAAGCTTCCACACCTCTGGTGATGATAAGCTAAATTTCTAATGAAATATTAATGATAAGTGAAAAGGCAATCAACTATTTTAATCACCTATTTTGTGTTTATATTTAATTCTTCTATAACTCACAGAAGTCCAGGTTATTATTAACAACTTACAGATGAAAAAATCAAGATAACTCATTTGTCAAAACTCAAACAGCTTACAAACAGTAGATTAGAGATTCAAACCCAGTATTCTTTGATTCAAGTTAATCTTTCCTCCAGTGAACCTACAACTCTCAATATATGTTCACCTGAATAACTGTACCAATTTATTTAGAATTTCTCTGACCATACCTAGTTCTCTTAAATAATCATAATATTGAGACATAAAAAGTATTAAATTCCTAAGAGAAATCACAGTGGCTCTGGGTATAATGAGGTAGTTTTTGGTTTACCTTCCTTCCTATTTTACTAGGGTTTTGGGGGGGTTCTATTTGTTGATTTTCTTAAGTGGCAATGAGCAGCATACTTAAACTTGAACATCAGCGATCCCTTCTTTTTGCACCTAAGTGAGCAATTTATTTCTTTTAATTCATAGTAAGTGGGAAATGCATGGCTTTCATGGTGACATCCACACATACAAATGTGACATGCTACAGAAAATTTCACCAGAAATCTAATGGCTTCTGAGAGCTGCTTTATGGATACTATGTGTTCAGTAATAAGTCATTCAACTCTTGCTTTAAAAAAAAGACATTTCTATACATGTATACAGGCATTGTCCAATTGGATATATTCAATTTTAAACTATCTAATATACACTAACAAGTTTGAATTTGGTAAATATCTTTGGAGTCCAACTGTCATATCCTAATATTGAATAGGCTTTGTAGACAGACCTGAAATCTAAAGCAATGAGAACCCGTTCCCAAAACTGTGACCCTGAGGTCAGAGTGTAGTCTATTGAAAAACTAAACCAATCTCAGAGTGAGAAAACAAGGTGGGACTTGGTTAAAAAGAACAGGCCTAGCTAGTAGAACTTTGGTCCCCATGCATGAAGGAGTGAGTCCAAAGCTTACCAGGGAATCAAGTCTTCGAATTTGTTTATGGAGATGAAGAGACATGTTTAGAGAAATCTACCAAGTCAATAACCAACTTTTTAGTGATTATTCCATATTTGTAATCAACGTTAATTCCGAGTGGTCTGCTACGTGGGTGCCTTTTAATCTGAATGTTTTGTATGGACTTTCAAATGAGGCTACATTAGCGATAATGCTAGTATTATGCCAATAAGAGATCCCAATTATTAAATGCCTAGCTCAGTTACCGACAGATCTCTGTACAGCTCCCAGAGTTATATCACTTACACAGAAATCCTCCTATCTTTTCCTTGGTGCCACCACTTTGATGTTGGCTATTTGCTAAGCATATGCTGTCACCAGCAAACAGAGTGTGGTTACCACCACATCTTACCAATACAATGACTTACCCAGACACTGTCTTCTGCTGCACCCCAAAGCCATAAGGCACCTCCATAGCTCTGCAATTACTCAAAAGCTTCCCTGACTCTCTCATGAAATTCATAACCTCAGCATCTGCCTTGACCCTTTTACATCAAAGGAAACTAGATGCCACAGGTCCCCTTATTCTTTTGTTTCTCAATTCTTCTGCCTCTTTCTACAAACCAACCTTCTCCTGTTCTTCAAACACAAAACTGAAAGTGTCAGTCCATGCATGTTGAGCCCCAGTAAGTTATCAGACTACTAGATTCATAGAGAGTCAAGAAGTGTTCACCTAGCATATTCACAGCATGTAAAATAAAGAATACCCTACTAACACACACACACACACACACACACACACACACACACACACACTGTGGTCAGTATCTCTTTCTTGGCAAGTTTGGGAAAATTGACTTAATCAGAACCTACCTGCTATTTCTTGCACTCCGTGAAGAGAAATTGTCTTCTTCCTTTTGAAAGTTTCCCTGGATTTCTATATTCTCTTCACAGAGTAGCATCCTCATAATCCTCCACACAGCCTCTTCCTATTTCTCTTCTCTACATGATCAGTTGGCAGTTTCTGCTGATTGACCTCCTAAATATTTTTGCAGTACAATGTTTGCAAAACATAAATGTAATAGGCACTCAGAATATTTTATCCATTTACTTAATATTTCTTAATTTATCATATGCAATATATTTCCCTTAGAATTAAATCTAAAAATTTTAACAGTTTGTATAAGATGGGGCCTCAGTTTCCTAGTCTAATTTAATATTTTATTACTGCTCATTCATATACCTGCACCCCACCAGCTAATATATAGTCAGATTTTTTCTCTGATTTTTATCCTTGATGTCCAACTCCCCTCTGCCCCCTCATTTTTCTTTAAGATGCTGAATCTTTTCTTGTGTGAGAGCTAATTCATGAAACAAAATATCTGTAGTCTGTGTTTTTTGAAGAAACAATCAAAATATAAACAAATATTATAGATTAGATGATTGACAGACATGGTTTTATTGCTTTTTTTATTAACTGAAAGTTTCATTTTGTGGACATTTTAAATACTCATTAGCATGCATTACAATATCCAAAAGTGACACTGAACTTTTATTATATTTTAATGTAAGCAATAGTCCTCTGCAGCTGGGTTATTTTTTCCTTTCCTTGACTAATTTTATAAGCTATTTAACAATGACACGTGGTTTGTCTCTCAGTGCATTTTAATTTTGAGTATTTTTAAATAAGAGATTTTTTCCATTGCAAATCAGACAAACATCTGTAAAATAAAAAATTACTCTATTCAGTTTTGAATATTTTAAGATTAATCCATTGTCTTTTTCGTAACATTACCCTTTTCTTCTCATAACAGGGATTTACTTTCTTCTTAGGAAATACCCTGCTCTATTCTCAGCTCAAAAAGGTCCAACTAGCTGTATTTTCCTCTTCTTCCCTGACTGAGCCAATGAAGATCATTCATCACCTGCAAGGCAGGGCCGTTAGACTGTTTTTTTCCATCTCAGAGACTGGCCAGTAGAACGCCACCCGGATCTCGACATGGCAAAGGAGATGGAATTGAAACTAAAGCAGGATCAGACAGAAATTCTTCCCCCTTTTCCTGGGTGTTAATTTTCTCAGGGCTATCTTAGATCAGATCACACACTACATCAAAATCACAAACCGAAAAAAATCAGCTCTCATTACTTGTCAGCTGTTTAAATCTCAGTTCGGATGCCATTTCCTTCTGTGAGACTCTGCTGATACTGTCTTTCGGAGTCTTATATTTACCTGTTGGTTTCCCATTGGCAGCACAGAACTTATCACACTGAATTGAGTGTTCATAGCTATTTTCTTCCCACCAAATTGATTAACAATTGATAATTGTTGTAGGAACTAACATTATTCCTTGTTCTTTAGCAATATAAATCTTCAATAAATACTTGAGTACACAAATGAATGAAAGATAATTGTATTAGATATTAACAAATAACTCCAATATGTCCTACATTGTTTTATTTCATATGAAATTTTTTTCCAGGTCCAAACTGAAGAAGATGATTTGGAAACAGATTTCTACAAGGATTTAATTCGTTTTGAAAAGAATGAAAATAAAAAAGCCTCAGTGAGCGGTAAAAAGAAAAGTGATTTTCATGTACCAATTTTTTATTCCTCAAAGAAAAATGAAAACTTTAAACATAACTTGGCTTTCAAAGAAGCCATTCAAGCCTCCCACAAAAAGGTAATAAAAATGGTTCCCAATCTTTTTATTCTTTCTTGAAATTTAACACCTGTTGAAGCAATTATGCATTTAGGAGAAGAAAATTTTGATATCATAATAGTATTTTTAACACACACCTAAATAGATTTACTTTTTTATTAAATCCCACTATATATATATATTCTCTTTTTTATTAAATCCCATACATATGTATATGTACATATATTTTTTTTTTTCAGTACCAGGGATCAAACTCTGGACCTTGCGCTTGCAAGGCAGGTGCGGTGCCGCTGAGCTGAATCCCCAGCACATTAATACCCACTTTAAAAGTTATAGTGATAATGCGTAATAATGTTCTTTTCTGTGATTGTGTTTCTTCTTGTGTTTTCTTTATTTTTGTATAGTTATACTGCTGTAGGTGTGTTTCTTATAAACCACATATAATAGAACATTGTAGTTTATAAAAGCTGACAGTCTCTGGCTTTTGCTAGGGAAATTCAGCCAACTTATGTTTAGTGTATTCATTGAAACATTTCATGTGTTCCTTCCACCTTTTATTTTTCTTACTCATTGCACAATGCTGGTGTCTCTTATTTCCTTATTTTTCCTAGTTTTGCAAGTTTCTACCTTCTTCCCTTTTGTCCTTTTGGAAGCTCTTCTGTACTTTGAATTCTGCATGCTGTTACTCTTCTCTAGTTGACAAACATAATTAAAATGTACATTTTTTTAATCACATGAGACATCTCCCAAAAATATTTTACTTATCTATAACACATACAACACACATTCTTTTCTGGAGAACATATTTGGTTCCCTATTCACAGGCTTTCAACAACAGTTTTAGTGAGATAATAAGAGTCTTCATCTATCTATTCATTGGAATTATTTTGAATTTGTTTTTATATTATATGTGTTAGTTTACATTTTGTTCTGACTCTTGTCTTCCCTATTTAAGGATTCTTCATATAACACTTATAATTTCCATGTTCATAGTCTGCTTTACATTAGTTTTATATTTTATATATGTATCACCATTTTCTTTCCTCTCATCTTCTCTTTTTTGATATTTCTATTTTCACTCCGTTGTCATTTTTCTAGTGTTTTCCTCAGGGAAGATACATGCAAGATGAATTTCCTAAATCCTTGTATATCCAGAGTTGTTTGCTTTTCTCTGAGTAATAAAGATAAAGAATATCCTGACTGCATTATAGCCCTCTTTTCTTCATAGTAGATAGAAATCTTCTGTCTTCCAATTTCCATTATTGCAGAGGAAAAGTCACATATAAAGTTGCTTTTCTAAATTTTTATTTTCTCTGTATTTATTTATTAATAAATTATTTATTTATAATACTCATTTATTAAATAAGCCTATATATATTTATTAAGTAAATATTTAGCATTTAGGGTTCTCAATATTAGATTTTTCTTATTTATCTTGCCAGAAATCTGTGAAAAATTATACCTTCATCTGGTAATCCTTCTTCTTCTGTTCCTTTTTCTCCTATAATTTGTCTGTTAATTCTGTTGCATACATTCTCCAACTGTAAAATAATTTGAGGAACAAATTTCTGTTGGAAATTTTTAGGCATTTACAAAGGTCTTTTAAAATAGTATCTGTTCTTCACCACAAACATCACTTTAAGTTGTATTTGTTCCTTCCCAAGTGATGAAAGAGGAGAATGAGTTCTGAATCAAAACCTGAGAGGAGGAAGTATGAGTCCCAACACTGAGCCAAAGAATTGGTTCATAAATGCCCCCAAACATGTGTGAAACCCTTATTATTAAATAAGGAGCTTTGCTTATTCTCTAACAGTCTCTCTCAAAGTGAAAATCATTAGGGTTGACCACAGTATCAAACTGGAACATACGAAGTTATTGTTATTCTTACAAAAATTGTCAGTCTTTTATGACTCAACCTAACATCATTATTTCAGTCTCAATAGAAAATGCTATTGCACTTTCCCTTTGTCTTCCCTTTGTCTACCCTTCATGTAATGCAAACAGCAAACCACCAATTTGAAAATGAATCCAAGCTATTAGTGTTCAATAGAGTGGGATGCTTTATGTATTTTGTCAAACCCAGATTTGACTAGCCATTTGTTAGGCAGATAGTCTGTATAAAAACAAATAGTAGTGCTGCAAGATTCAATGCTTTTTAAATTTATTTTACAAAACTGAAAACACCACGCTATGGGTAAAATAGAGTAAGGTTGCATAAATTGATGAAATGAATTATACATGGATTATACCCTATTGTAATATGATATTTTAGTCTAAAACAGCTAGTCCCAACTATCATATGCCAAGTAGAATACCCTGTCTGCTTGTGCTCATTGTGCTCATTTGCCATACAAATTTTTGACTTGTATTTTTTATAATTTAGTTTTCAGCAATTTGAAAGTGTTAAACCTTCCAAAACATGCATTACAGATATTCAGGCAGTGCATGTTCTCCTCACTAAAAGGGCCCTCTAATTTTCAAAACCTATGTTTCTATGGCAAAATTCAAGTATTAAAGTGAAAGACAGAATTAATGGGCACTTATTAAAATGTAGGCTGAACAAAAGCATAAACAATGTCTGTCTTGTTCACTTCTGTATCCATAGCATCTGAGAGAGTTTAGCAGAAGGTAATAAGATAAGAAGAAGGGGGAGGGGGAGAGAGACAGAAAGAGAGAGAGGGGAAGAAGAAGGAGGAGGATGAAAGAGGAAGAGAAAGAAGAGGAAGAGAGGAGAGGAGAGAGGAGGTAAGGAGAGAGGAGGAGAGGAAGAATGATGACTCTCTATTTTGCAATTTTTTTTCTTTGTATTAGCAGTCACTTAGTGCCATAATTATAGGGTACAGGAAGATAGCTGTTTAATAATTAGCAGTTACAATAAAGTTATTTTGCTGAAATACAGTCCTCACTGTTGCTGTTACTCAAACACTAAAATTTCTTAAAATTGAAATATAAGATAAAATACATAAAATGTTTTTAATTGTATACACAGAACACTCATAAACCCTAGTGGCTGTATAGAACAAGCTAAAGGAATGATATTTTCAGCATAGTATCAACCATGTAATCCTAAAACCTGACATAATAAGAAATGACAAAACCAAAAAAAAAAAATAGGTTTACAAAAAAACAAAATCCCTCATATATTTCTGCACATAGGTGGAAGAGAAAGAATACAAATAATTTTAACCTCACTCCCTAATTTAGAATCACAGCATTTTGGCATTGAAGGGGAATGTGAAATGTCACTTGGTGAATAGCCCTCTTGTTCTTGCTGAACCACTGAAGCCTAGAGAATATAAATGCTTTCTCCCATTAGTGACAAAGCTACAAATCAATTTCAAGTTGAATTTGTGAATAATCTGTTTTTGATTATTTGCATTACCAAAACATTCTAAAAAGAAAAAATATTTAGTAAGAATGCAACCATGATAGGTATCAATAGAGAAGGACTGACTTTTCTGATTGTTGATCCCTTTTGGTAGAGAATATCAATCTACATTAATGAGTTAATCTTATCTATTTAGCACTTTGAACATCTCAGGAAGAGGTGTGGAAAATAAAACAAAAATTACAATTTTGTGTGTGAGAATATGCAAAACAGTTAAAATTATTTTCATACTATAGTAAGATTGAAGCTAAGAATAAATTGATAACATTTAAATGATTGGTACCTCTAGCTTTTATTTACCTTTAATCTGTCTCTCCCCCCCTTCCCTCCCTCCCTTCCTCCCTCTTCCTCCTTCTCTCTCTCCCTCCCTCATTTCCTTCCTCCCTTCCTCTCCCTTCCTTATTCCCTCCCTCCCTCCTCCTCTCTTATTTTGCCTTTCATTTAGGATTCTAGCTTTGTTAGAATCCATAAAGTGATAAAAGTCTTAAACTTCACAATGAAAGCTGAGGATCTGCATCTCTCTGATGTCTTTTTGAAAGCGCTTAACCGTCTGCCTTTAGAATACAACTTTGCTTTGTACAGCCGAATATTTGAGGACTTTGGAACTCACTACTTTACTTCTGGATCCCTGGGTGGAGTATATGACCTTCTCTACCAGTTTAGCAGTGAGAAGTTAAAGAACTCAGGTATATTTTCTTCAACCTTTGCTTTTTAAATTGGTATAATAACATGCAATACATTTTTTTTCCCTACTCTATCATTTTAATTCTCTTTCTTGGGCTTTAAATTAAATCTGCTTTTTTTTCAAAATGATAATAAAGTACACTCAAAAGCATACACATTCAAATAAATAAAATGAGAATAGAAAAGTAGAACCAAAATAAAGAAAAAATAAGCTTAATCTCTGTGATTGGACATCATATTCAACTATGAGTTTTCCAAACTATAGGAACATAACAAGCTATACTATGGTGGTATCTCCTAAAAAGGCAGATTGATGCAAATATCTCAAGAAAATAAAGGTTATCCTAGAGCTAAATTCTCAAAAATAATTTACTTATAACATTTTCATATGAGATAGTTTTATAGAGCAATAATTTATAGCAAATTCAATAGCAATCATTTTCTTTCAGTGATTTTAATAAAAGCCAAGGACATAAGATAAAAGAACATAGGGGTTAGATGCATACTACTGGTATAAAGCATGAAGCTTAACATGAAGCACTTTTATTTGAGGAAAGCCTACAACTTTGTATCTTGAAGTATAGAGCAGGTTGGGGTTTTTTTGCTTGCATATGAAATAACAAACCAAACACTTTCTAAGTATTTCTCTTAAATTGTTAATATTAATTATCATAATAGTTTAAGCATCTTTGGATAAATTTGTTTTCAGGCTCCTGTGTGAACTGAATTAACATTTGGAATCATCTCTTGGTGTCTCTTTAGAGTAAAATTAGGAAACTGAATAATAGCCAGAGTCAAACTCATCAGCTTCCCCAAGCAAATCTGAATTATTCATCATTCAACTTTTATACAAATGTAAACAGAAATTAATTTAAAAACACAACCTCAGGCCAGTGTTGGAGCCAACTGAGTTTCAATCCTTCTGTTCTTACAGCTCACTGTGGCAAATGCTAATGTTTCACATAGCTGCTCTGAGTCCTTCCAGATCTTAAGGGGTCACATTTCCCTCACAATCTCCATCCTAAGAAAAAGGAAGGATGAATACCTTTCAGAAGGATTTTCAATAAGAAAGTCTTAAGGTTTTCTTTTTTACCTGAAATGTTTATTAAAATCTAGAAGATATATCCTATGATGGGTTTCTGTACTGCCTGCCCCTTATATTTCATTTAATTTATCATTTCTTGTGGAGCAATGCTTGCATGATGAATTGGATGTCTTCTTCCACTGAAAATAGTATCAATATTAGCTCTGAGCAAAAATAGTTGAGGGAAATCCTTGGCTCTTGACTTGGTTATATCTTACCTTTCAGATAAAATTATTCTGGTCACTGATGATGCATCCCAGACAATAATGTCCCACTTGATGAGTATATTCAACCTGCATTTAGCCAAAACCTTTGAATGCTTACATATCAGAACAGTTAAAGAACTGTGTGAATCTTTAATCAACCATCCAATGTTTCAGTAGTTGAATCCCAATAAGGAAAATGAAGAGTGATGGGTGATACATTTCTACAAAACTATTCTCACCTTCCATCTCTTTCTCTATAAAGGTGAAGATCAAAAACATAAATGAAATCAAGTTCATGAGTAATTCATTGTGTTATAGATAGAAGATAGATGGATGGGTAGAGAGATAGATGGATGGGTAGATAGAAGATAGATAGATAGATAGATAGATAGATAGATAGATAGATAGATAAGAATATGAGATATGATAGAAAACCAGAAATATACATATCCATATGCACATATACTAGACATACATACTACATACGCATGCCATATATAGTATTTAAAATGTATATATGTACAATTTATATGTGTATAGTATTCACATTATTTGGTGAGATATTCAATATTTCTATATTATGAATATTCTTAGGTTCAGTAAGAATATATATTCTGTGAGTCATAACAATAATAATAATATATATATATACTGGTTATTAAAATAATGAGTTTTGATCATTAAAATGAAGCATGTTTGGACAGAAACAGATCACAATAGAATGGAATGCTCCAATGAGTGACCTTTACTGTTTGGCTCATTTCTAGGTGAACATATGTTCTGACCTCTTCTCTTCCTATTTCTTATCTCTTTATTTAGACATAAGATAAAACCAGAGTACATATTTTCAATTTTGTTATGCTTTGTGCAGTGAATTACATACCTTGTCATTACTTTTTAGAAAAATAATTTCAATGTTTCATAGTACCTTCCTTCAAGAAGAACAAAACAAAAATTAAATTGCTTTTTGGTTGCATCCTTGATTTATTTCTCTGTTGTTCACTGTCCAACAGTAAATTTAAAACCTTGGGTAAAAGTTGCCATTGCTTCAATGTGCAAAGTAAAAAAGAATGTCAAAAATACAGTGAAATCATTAAATAAAATATTATTCATGGCAGTAATTTTAAACTTCTTTTGTTGAGAAGATATCTTTTGCTCTGAATTTGGGGTGAAAATTATTCACTGCATTATTTATTGGTATGATATTGTGGCTGGCACTATTGACTTGCTCAGTCAGAGACGCGGAGGACGTTATTGAAATGCTCATTCTCCAACACCAGGATGCTCAAGTTTAAGTGGTCAAGTGCTACAGGTTCAAGCAACTCCTCAGTTACTGTGAGGCCAGGCAGCAAGTGACAGGACATACCCAGGGAAGGAAAGGCTTTTTTCAAACTTCACTGATGAAAACATGATATTTAATCACTGGATGGCCAACACCACAAGAGGGATTTCTTTAAGGATTCACATATGGCCCTCTAAATATGAAATTATATTCATATATAACTCATTGTGTTATAGCTAATTGGTCACATAAAATTTAATTTTCACTTATAATTAGTAAAACCTAATGAAAGAATCAGAAGAGGAGTCATGCATCATAAATGCATTAAATTCGTAGTATGGCCTGAAAATTTTACTGACCCACTTATAAAAACAATGTTGTCACAAGAAAATTAAGCATATTTATCCAGCCAGAATAAAACAGCCACCTTTTTCTTAGAATAGAAGCTGCAAAGGTAAACATTAGGGCTTCAAACCAATTATACTTTTATTCTCAACTAATAATACATCTCTTCAAATGTGTCAAAACCTTTAAAAAGTAAAAAAGGCACATCCAATTCATGTCTATTGGCCTTATTTCTCAGTGTTCTGGTCTCCACTTCAGCCTCACACCTGATTAGGGCCTCAAGCTCTGAAAACACTCTGCCCTGGCTATTGTAACCTGCAACTTAAATATCAGTATGTAATAAGGGAGGTTCCTTTAGGGTACAAAAATACTGATACAAACTATATCTCTCATATGCTTTTATAATTCAAGGAAACTTTCTACTAAATATCAAAAGACATGGACTTTATTTTTAAAGTTTCTGGCACTGAGTCAGGTGCCTTGGAGAGCTGTCATAATAAGCACAAATGTATTGCTGTCAAATTGCCCCAGATAGGTAGTACCAACTAAGTCTTCCAATGTGCTGGATCTGTTTCCCTGCACTGAGTTCCACTCAGAGAATTTGATGTCACTGAGAATGACTATAGCCATTGTGCCTGGAATGACTCAGATGTCAAAATCTTCAACCAATGATGAGTGAAAATTTGGAAAAGGATAAGAACAATGAGGACTAAAGGTATCATAATGGCATGGCCCGAGCCTCAGAGCTTCTGGGTTTTGACAAAACAAGAGTCATCCAGGAGAAGTTGGCACTGAGCATCCAGAAACTTGTCAATCCCAGCTCAGAATGAGGCAGTACCAACCTCCCGGAGACATCAGAGAATCAAAATCAACATAGGTTTGAGTTTAGATAAGGAGACAGAACAGCAAAGAGGCTGAAAGATTAACAGGTCACGAAGTCAGAATTTTTTTATTGTAGAGTTAGCAACTGGTATTTATGAGTTAATGAGAATTACACATGGCATAATAACATATATCTTTATCCCAGAATTTCAGAGATTAAAATAAAAATAATTTGGAGTTAGGGGCAGAGGGACCAGTGGAATCCAGGAGAGAGGTTTTCTGCTGTTCTCTGAGTTTTCAGTAGGTTCTGTTTGTATTATATTCCTTAGGTTTATCAGAGGAAGAAATCCGAAACTGCATGCGTATTGAAACACGGAAACGCTATTTATTTTTTAAGAAAACAAAAGTGGAAGAGCACTGTACCACTAACAAGAAGTCAGAGAGCTATGAAGGTAATGGCACTTGCTTGTCCAGCATGTCTCAAAGTTGCCTGTAATTTAGCAACCAAATTGCACATGACTGTGCTATTTTTAACAAATTATTTATTTCACTTATCTGCCTACAAGGTCTGTGGCATGAGGAAAGTGCAAATAAAACATTACTAGTGCTACATAGAAGTAGAAATGGCTAAGGTTTTCTCTGTCTTGTTCTTAGGCTGTTCAACTTAATGAATAATTTCCTGGGGTTTTTTTCCCAATGGGCAGAACTTAATGTCAAATTAATTGTACAGTAAACATGAGTACAAACTAGACATTTCCATTTATGAAACTTACTAAATATATATAATATATATTATATATATAATTAAAAACACAGGCTGATAGGGGTTTAGGAAAGGTATTTTTTAAAGGCTCTGAAAGTACATTGGGTAGAAGAAAATGGGCAGACAGAAATCCTGAGATGAAAATACATCAGATTTTGTCAAGAGAGCTATTTGAGGGCTGTCCATTGAAGACAGAAGAAGATTTTGCCAAACAGAGGAAATGAGAAAAAAAAAAAAAAAAACAGGCCAAACTACTAAACAAAGAAGACATATATCAGATTTTGCAGCATAATTTTACTCCTTCCCAGAGTTTCAGCCACTGCCTTTGGATTTCACTCTAATCCTAATCCACAGTCTAGAAATCTCTTCTGAACTCTGGACACCAACTGTACACTAAACATCTCTATCTGAATATTTATGAGCACCAACATTTCTCATACTCTCTCCCTGCTAAAATGATACTGCATAATAGCATAGCCTTTACTTTATATCCTAGTAGGACTGTTGGGAATATTAAAGAATGAGACATTTATAATGAGACTACCATAGTGACAACCCACTATTGGCTCCTTTTACCTTCCCTCTCCTACAACTGTCCCACTATTAATGATGGCATTGCCATAAACTAAGTTAACCCCACCAGTAACTGAGGCATTGTGTGCGTTTTTCTTCTTTCTTTCTAGCCTCGCTATCCAATAAATAATCATGTGTAACCCACTGTACTTCCTAAATATCTCTCCAAGCTGTCTCCATCTCTTGATTTCTGTATGCACACCCTCCAATATCATTTCTAATCTGGACTATCACAGATGCCTTCTAAATTGTCTCCTTGTTTGTAATCTTGCTTTCTTCTAGTCAATTCTACCTATTTTCTCCATGATAAAACTTATTTATGAAAGCCTCAAGCTTAGAACACACTATGGTTCCAAATGGTCTTAAAGATAAGCACTTGCCTCTCTTTGTATATCTAGAATTTATGTAATCTCCTCAACAAGTCATGTTCTCGCCTATGCCTTAACATTATAAATAACCTCTTACTGGGTGTGAAATTCACTCATTCCCTTACTGTGCCTGGCTGATTGTTACCCATTCTGCTAAAATCAAAGGGTAACAGGATGACAGAAACCCACAAATTTTAAGCTAATAGTCTCATGAGGAAGATAGCTGAGGAACAAATGAAATATAATGTTTACCACATTTTCTTTATCCATTCATCTCTTGATGGACATATACACTGATACTTCTATAAACATAGGTATGCATGTATCCCTATAAAATAATGACTTTAACTCTTTTGGGAAGATACCTAGAAGGGAAATAGCTGCATCAAATGGAATTTATATTTTTAATTTTTTAAGAATCTTACTGATTTCTTTTGTTCATTGAAAAGAAAGGTTTTTCTTTTTATTTACTTGTTTCATCTTTGCAAGAATCATTTTTTAATTTATGACTTGTACTCTGAGTAACATTTTGGCCACTCTTCTAAGATCATGATACACAGTATATAAGCCAGCATTATTCTCTAATTAGTTTGTTATGAAATTTTATTTTTTATAGACATGAGAAGAGTGTTTTAATATTGTCTTTATTATTATCTACTTATATTACATTAAAATTAAAAAATATATAATATTTACCATAATAATAAATAGCTAATTTTAACTATAGTACCAGAGCATATAGTGACCTATATATAGATGTCAACATTAAGCATAAGCAAAATGAGAAGAACTGACTTGACAAGTACTTGCATGTGAAAGAAAGAAAGAAAAAAAGAAAGAAAGAAAGAGAGAAAGAAAAGAATATAGTATTCCAGACAATTAATTTAGGATTATAAATAAAAATGGACACAGATTTGATAGCTTATCATGCAGTAGAAATTTTTAATAATTATTTGAATTCAATGAATCAAAAGTACAAAGATAAAAAGATCAAATGAAAGGGATAAAGAAAAGGGTATTCAAAGCTTAGCTATAAAAACAAACATTGAGAAACATCACCATTGAATTATAAATAAATTAGACACTGCAAGAATAAAATAGATTGTCTGAAAAATAAAATTAACAAAGTTAATTACATCTCAAAAAAGATCTAAAGAAATCACAATAAGTACAGAGAAAAATGTAAATGTTATTAAAGAAATTAATGAAAGTAGAGTGGCAAACACAATTTAAAACATAAGAATTATAGATCCCAATAAATTAAACAAAAACTTTACTTTAAAAAATCACTGTATAAGAACATGTTCCTAAAATAAATGAAGAAGCTTTTCTTGATATATGTACCATAAATATTCAAGTATGTAACTTCTATATAAATTCTAGTTCAATTACTAAGACCAAAATTTTTAAAAAATGAGTTCTGCAAGTATCTTGGCTGAAATAAAAAAGTTTATTACAAAACAAAAACAACAAAATTTGGCTGGCCTCAGACTTCTCCATAACAAAATTTCATATAATGTGAAAATAGACAAATGTCCACAAATTCCTGAAACGGGAAAAAAACTTCATGTGGAAAAGTAACAGGAAGACATTTTTAAAACATGAGCAAATTCTTACTTACTGAAAAAAAATACTCAACTGTAAAATCCATGTAACAAAGAGATTAATGAAGAAAAATTTGGAATAATTTACATATTCAAATAGAATTTTTTTCTAAAATTAAACTCAATATATCTCTCAAATCCTCATTTCTTCTAAGTGGGAAAAGAAATACAAAATTTTGAATGTAATGTAAGTCACTTTGGGTTTCAGTTTTCAATTTTCAGTTAATGGTAAGATCTTACCTTTCTCCTTTGCTGCTTTCCATGGATAATCTTTCTGTGTGTGAAATGTGCATGAGTACATATACATGCATATGTGTTCATGTATATATACATGTGAGAGGAAGGGTCAGGTGCATCCAAGCATAAAAGAAAGAACTGAACCTTTGTTAGCAGGCTCCCTTTGCATCTGTTGGTCTCAACTACTGTATCATTTGCCTGCTCTTGTTCTCATTATTATGTGCTGGCATCTACAAGCAGTGTTGGTACTCCTGCCTTGGCCTTTGATTACTAGGTCTACGCCCTTTGAATTGGCGCATATCACCAACAGCATGCCCTTTTGTGTCGTATATATAGTGTTTGTAACCCTTTCTCAAGACTTACTCACCTCTATGTGATTAGGAAACTATTAATTGTTTTCTTTATGCATCACAGTGAAGGGTGAGGACCTCTACAGCACTCAAAGAAGCACTGTCTTGTGTACCATGTTGGATATAAACTTCTCTCCACAGGCTAGCCCTTCACATTCTGCTTCTAGAGAAGACTTAAGTACAAGTGTATATGAGCTTCTATCAGACTTCACTTGTACATCATCCTTCCCAAGGCTTTCCTCAAAGTACCAGAGTCCTATATCGGCACTGAGGAATTCACCTAGTCTAAATTTTTGTTACCACATTTCAAATAGTGTTCATTCTCCTCATTGCTAAAAAATCTTTTCTCCTTTGAGAAGGAAAAGGGTTTTTATGTCATTATAAAATTTTTATCATTCTTTGATTGATACTACAAATTCCATGTTCTTAGTCTTAACAGGGTTGGCTCTTGATATTTAAATTTAAGCATTAAAAACTCAAAAACTATTTTTCTCTCTCGAGAGCCTGGCCCTTGACATTGAAAACCAAGACCTTCAAATCTATCATTTTTGCCTGATTTACCAAAGTATACTTGAGAGCTCAAAACACGAAGTTTGACTCTGTCTCTCCGACTTCTCTAACCCACAGCTGTACATAAAAAAGCCCTGAATTATGGAGAGGAATGGTAGGTACATAATTTTAAAACTTATGCAAAAATTAATATAAAGACATAAATCCAATAGACAAAGAACTCAGAAATGAAGAAACACTGGGCAAAGATAAGTTAATGAAATGTATTTATTTAATATATAGAACAAATAATCAGGGAAATAAGGATTGTATTCTTCTGAATTGCTTACATATTTAATATTCCAAAGATGGAACACTTACTTTCAAGCAACAAAATCAATCTTGAAATTACAATTTTTAGCAAAGGATCCAAAAACCCTTGGATTACCACCTCTATTATTATTCATAATAAAAGTTAGGTGCCCTTCTGTTATCAGTGTAACCTGTAGTCATAATATCATAGCACCCTCACACTGAATTGTATTTGCTTTTTACTTTCTCCATAAAGTTGTACGCAAATTTAGGCAATGACATAGTTCTTATATCTTCCATATTTAATAGCATGCTGAGCATATTATAACTATTTAATTGATGTATGTCAATATAAATGATTGAAAGAATGAGTAATCAACATTTATTAAGTTTTTAAAATAGTCTCAAAACTATTATATATTATGTGTGTGAACTTTTAATTCTCATAGCAATCCTTTGAGACTACAATCATTACTCCCATTTATAGATGAGGAAATGAAAGAATAAAGAGGCCAGGAATGAATGCTTAAGTGAACAGATGAGTATTTCAATTTTCCTTGAATAAAAATTTGTCCAATAAAACTGGGAAAGTGTGTTTGGCCTATATTAAACAAAATTTATATGCCTTGTTAAAATATTTGGACTTAATCCTACTAAAGATTTTTACTAACCCATTTAATATGTTAAGTGTGAAAATAGAGTCTCATTTTTAGATTCAAAAACTGTAACAGTAACAGAGTCAAAGAAAATGTTCCT